CAGGATCGGACATTGTTTTGTTCTGCTGTGCATGGGGTCGCTATGAGTCGGTTCTGACTCGATGGCACCTGACAACAACAACAACATCATGTCATAAGGTTGATGGCAATGATTTTATCAATGGTTCAGAAAAAATAATTGACTTCTTCCTCATCCCCTTTGAGATGGATGCTGTTAAAGGCATTAGCAAGACAAGCACAAGGTGATTTTTATTTCCAACCGTATGATTCATGCGTTCCTGTTTTGTTTCAGTTGGATCATCCATGCTATGGAGTATGAACTACAGATTCGTGGTGGAGACAAGCCAGCCGTGGACTTATATCAGCTGTCACCTAGTGAAGTGAAGCAACTTCTCCTGGATGTTCTCCAGCCTCAACAGAATGGAAGGTACTGTTGTCACCGCTAGCGCATTCTGTACATTGTAATTTTTTAGTTTGATATATATGTGAAGATATTACAAAGAAATAAGACAGCAGAATATCAGAGTCCACTCTACTAGGTAGGCAGTATAAGCAGAGATAATCATTTATGGTTCTGTGGTTTTCATTTTACAAGTGTATATTCTATTCAAACATAGTTGAGAAAGATTTTTTTCATTTTTAATATTCAGTGAAGAATACAACACGTCATACCACTTGGTCAGTTCCTTTTCCAAACTTGTGTAGCACTCACCATCACTCACATTTTGGCAAAGCAGGATGGATTTGGTAATATTATTTTAATACAAATATGTTGCCATGACATCATCTTCCTAAATAGACCTATTTAGATTTATACTAAGAAAGATGATCTAACAGAATGTTGAAATTATCTAACAATAAAGTTAATATCACATGCAAGTGAAATTTTGCTGAAGATAATTCAAAAACATTGGAACAGTACATTCACAGAGAGCTGTCAGAAATTCAAGTCAGATTTAGAGGAGGACACAGCATGACTGATATCATTGCTGACATCAGATGGACCTTAGTATCTTAGCTAAAAGCAGACAATACCAGAAAGATGTTTAACTGTCTTTTATTGCCTATACAAAGGCATTCGACTGTATAGATCATAGCTATAGATAATATTACAAAGATTAGGAACTCTGGAACACTTATTTGTGCTCATCTGTAGCCTGTACATAGACCAAGAGACAGTCATTCCAGTGAAACAAGGGGATACTAAATGCTTTAAAATCAGGAAAAGTATGTATCGTGGCTGTATCCTTTCATCATACCATACCTATTCAATATGTATGCTGAGCAGATTATCCCCAAAACTGGATTAGGTGAAGAAGAACAAATACCAGGATTAGCAGAAGACTTGTTAAAGACCTGCAATATGCAGTTGCTACAACCTTGCTTGCTGAAAAAGAAGACTTGAAGCACATATTGATGAAGATTGTCTTCAGAATTGATTATACCTCAGCATAAAGAAAATGTGAATACTAAATGTAATGTGAGATCCTTTATTAGATCCCAGATTAAATCATAGAACAGTAGTGGTGAAACTAGCAAAATTTACAGAGGTTCCACAATTAATTGATAGTAATGTACTAAACTCCCTTGAGAGTTCTGATAAACAAGGATTAGAATGATAAAGAATAATGAAAACTTACCTGCTTAGTCTCTTGCTGCCCATGTTGTGAATACTGACTATTAGTGACAGTAGTATGGTATGTTATACATTTTTATTGTGGTCAGCTGTTTAAAATCATAATAATGGAGCCCTGGTGTGACACTGTGAGATAATGTGCCAGACTGCAAAGCCATTTGAACTGCAAGGTTAGTGGTTCAAGCTCACCAATCGCACCTCGGAAACCCTATACAGGGTTGCTATGGGTCGGAACCAAGTCGACGACACTTAACAACAACAACAATGTATTAATATCCATATTTGTGTCCATCCCAAAGAAAGGAGATCCAATAGAACAAATAGAACTCACCAGGATGCCATTAATATACATTAGTATCAATTAATTGTGGAAAACTTCTATAATGGACTCCTGGTGTTGCATTGTAGGATAAGCACTCAACTGCACGGTTGGTTTGAATTGCATGGTCGGTGATTCAAACTCACCAGCCACTCCTTGGAAACCCTATATGGGGTCGCTTTGAGTTAAAGCAGATTTGATAGTACTTACCAACTTAACAACAACCATGTATTGTTATCCATATTTGTGCCCATCCCAAAGAAAGGAGATCCAATAGAACAGGGAAATTAACAATATCACTACCATCACATGCAAGTAAAATTTTTCTGAAGGTAATACAAAAACAGTTACAGCAGTACATTGACAGAGAACCTCCAGAAATTCAAGCTGGATTCAGAAGAGGATGTGGAATAAGGGATATCATTGCTGATGTCAGATGGCTGAAAAGAGCAAATACCAGAAAGATGTTTTGTTGTTGTTGTTATGTACCATGGAGTCAGTTCCAACTCATAGCAACCCTGTACTGGGTTTCCAAGGCTGTAAATTTTTACGGGAACAGAAAGCCTTATCTTTCTCCCATTAAGCAGCTGGTAGTTTCAAACTGCTGACCCTGAGGATAGCAGCCCAGTTCGTCACCAGTATGCTGCCAGAGCTTCTTAGAAAGATGTTTACAACTATGTTTTATTGACTATGCAATGGCATCCCATTATATGGCTCATACAAAACCGTGGCTAGCGTTGCGAAGAATGGAAATTTTAGAACACTTAATTGTGCCCACATAGAACTTGTACAAAAAACAAGAGGCAGTCCTTCAAACAGAGAAGAGGGTACTGTGTGGTTGAAAATCAGGAAAGATGTGTGTCAGGATTGTATTCTTTCACCATACTTATTCAGTCTTTATTGATAAGTGCTATCAAGTCAATTCCAACTCATAGCAGCCTTGTATAAGGCTTCTAAGAAATGACTGGTTGGTTTGAACCACCAGTCTTTTGGTTAGCAGTTCAGTGCTTATCCTACATTGCCATACCAAGACTCCATTCAGTCTGTAGACTGAGCAAATAATCCGAAATGTTGGACTATATTGAGAAGCGTGTGGCATCAGGATTGGAGAAAAATTAACTAGCAACCTGCGATGTGCAGATAACACACCTTGCCTGCTGAATGTGAAAATAACTTGAAGCACTTGCTGATAAAGATCAAAGACTATAGCCTGAGTATGGATTATAATTCAGTGTACAGAAAACAAAAATCCTCACAACTGGACCATTAAGTAGCATGATAAACAGAGAAAATATTGACACTATCAAGGATTTCATTTGGATCCACAATTATTATCCAAGGTAGAAACATTTAAGAAATCAAATGACGTATTGCATTGGGCAAATCTGCAACAAAAGATCTCTTTAAAGTGTTAAGGAACAAATATGTCACTTGAGGACTAAGGTACACCTGATGCAAGCCATAGTATTTTCAGTCACCTCATATGCATATGAAAACTGGGCAATGAATAAAAAAGATCAGAAAATTGATGCCTTTGAATTATGATATTGATGAAGAATATTGAAAGTCCCATGGACTGCCAAGAAGAGCAAACAAGTCTGTCTTTGGTAAAGTACACCTAGAATGCTCCTTAAATACAAAGATGATAAGACTTCATCTCAATACTTTAGAAGTCTTATCAGGAAGGACAAGTCCCTGGAGAAGAATATTATGCTTAGTAAAATGGAAGGTCAGCATAAAGGAGGAAGACTCTCAACAAGATGATTGACAGAATGTTTCAAACAATGAGCTCAAGCATAGGAAAGATTGTGAAGATGGTGCAAGACCAAGCAGTGTTTTGTTCTGTTGTGCAGTCTCTATGAGTTAAAATCTACTCAGTGGAACCTAATAACAATACTGTATCAATGTTAATAGGTAGCTTTGGTAATTGTATGATGGTTTTATAAGATGTTCAGAGTTTGGGAAGGTAAGTGAAGAGTACAAAGGAAATTTCAGAATTCCTTTTAGGACATTTTTGTAAATCTAAAAATTTTCCAAAACATGAAGATATATTCCAAAATAAGGACTCCTGATGTGATGCTGTAGGATCAGCACTGAACTCTGAAACCACAGGTCGGCAGTTCAAACCCACCGGCTGTTCCTCAGAAACCCTGTACAGGGATGCTGTGAGTCGGAACCAACTCAACAGCGTTTAACAACAACATTGTGGAAATTTCTACTTTAAATGTTATAAACAAAAATCAGATAGCCCTGGTGGTATAGTGGCTAAGCAATAGACAAAATGTAGCTGGTTTGACTACCATAGGTGCTCAGTGGAAGAAAATTGCGGCAGTTGGCTTCTATAAAGATTTACAGCCTTGAAAACCCTAGGGTGCAGTTCTACCCTGTTATACAGGGTTTTTGTAACTCAGAAAGAACTTAGCAGCAGACAAACAAATCTCCATTCTAAAATATTAACCAAGACCTCATAAGGCTCTGAAAGCACACTTTTGTGTTTTGTGAGGATTTAACAACAATGTAAAGAAAGCAAAAATCCTCACCACTGGACCAATAAATAATATTCTTGTCAATAGAGAAAAAATTAAAGTTGTCAAGGACTTAATTCTTCTTGGATCAACTATCAACACTCATGGAAGCAGCAGTCAAGAAATCAAATGACTTATTACATTACAAATCTGCTGCACAAGACCTTTTTATAGTGTTGAAGAGCAAAGATGTCAGCTTGAAGACTAAGGTGTGCCTGACCCAAGCCATGGTATTTTCAGTAACCTCATATGCATGTGAAAGCTGGACAGTGAATTAAGGAAGACCATAGAAGAATTGATGCTTTTGAGTTATGGCGTTGGAGGAGAATATTGAAAGTGCCATGGGCTGTCAAAAGAACCAACAGATCTGTTTTGGAAGAAGTGCAGCCAGAGTGTTCCTTGGAGGCCAAGATGGCCAAACTTTGTTTCATACTTTGGACATATTGTCAGGAGAGACCAGTCGCTGGAGAAGGATATCATGTTTGGTAAGGTAGAGGGTCAGAGAAGAAGAGGAAGACCCCTAATGAGATGGATTGGCCAAGTGGCAGCATCGATGGACTCAAGCGTGGCAACAGTAGTGAGGTTGGCCCAGGATCAGGCAGAGTTTCATTCTGCTGTGCGTAAGGTCGCTATGAGTCGGTACTGACTCAATGGCACCTAACAACAACAACAAAAAAAAATGCAGAGTGTAAGGTATTCAGTTACACACCTGTTATCCCAAGTGAAATATCACCAAAGAGACCCTGGACCTTTTTGTCCTAACACTGAACTCATCAGTGCAAGCCTAGTCTATTAAACTTGTCCATCTGAAAAAACCATGCCTCCCTTACTTCTGTAGTGATAAAACTTCATTGGTTTTCTTTCACCACAAGAAAAAGGTCTTTTTCTGCTTACTATGTCCTGCACAGCTATTTTCAGATCCTTGTGATTGATGACATATTTTACCTGCTTCGTTTCTTAATACCAAAGATGAAAAATTATATATTTGCTCCTGTCCTCATCTTTTGTAAAACTATACCACTATGCTATTTGATGTATTCTTTTCAAATTATGCAAATCTGAATCTTGAGTAGTTTGTGAATTATGCAAGTATGATCTTTTGAGATTAACACTTAATCCATGAAAATAAGAGTTTTGATTAGTATGTAGAGCATTGTATCTGGTTTTTCAGCACTGGGATTTTAGCCATAATTACACAGCAAATTTTTAAAGTTTAAATAAAGACAATTTCATTATATAAAAGTGCTTTATTTGAGTTTCATTTATTTATTCATTCATCCATGTGCCTTTTTGGAAGAGGTATATAAAGTATATACAAGTGATCAAAGTATAGGATTTCCTTGCCTTTGTGGAATTTATGTTTTATTGTATTTCAGAACCACATAAACTTATTTCTAAATTTACTGTTCCTGTGTTTTTTAATAGAGCTGTTTTGCTTATTAGAAAATCATTTGATTGTGTAGGGAACAACCTCCTAATTTAGTAGAGAATAATGTTTTGCCTTTTAAATGTTTTAAAATCTTGGGGAATTTCTCCTCTCTTGCAAGCACTGCTTTTACTATGAAATATTTACTAACCTCAGTAACACATGGTAGCTATGCATCATTGATAGATTTTTGCTTTTATTGCTCGCCCTGCTGGAACAATTAACCCATACAAAAAACTGCTTTCTATCAGAACATGCTTGGTTTTCAACTCTGAGGCATTTTCCTTTGTTGTACAGATGTTGGCTGAACAGACGCCAGATCGATGGGTCTTTGAATAGAACTCCCACTGGGTTTTATGACCGAGTGTGGCAGATCCTGGAGCGTACACCCAATGGAATCATTGTAGCAGGGAAGCATTTGCCACAGGTAAAGGCCCACTATGGTTAGGTCAGTGAATAGGGTTTCTAAAGAAACCCAAGTAGAGACTTCTTCCCCACTCTGCACTGAAAATAACCTTTCTGCTTATTCACTTTTCTAGAAGTATTTAAAAAGAAGAGTTTCAAGATAGTTGAAAAGCAGTACTAGGAGATAAAAAGTTTAATCAACTGAATTGTAGGGTTTTTCTGCAGTCTCAGTTGCTTTTATTTTCAATTTTGGTGTCCCTTTATATAAAATAACTTTCCTTGTCAAATGGATATATTATTGAAGAGTATAATCCGGTTATTTTTGTATTGTCTTATTTCTAATGTTTCAAGGACACTCTCTGCTTAAGGAAACTATGTGATTAAACCTTTCTCCTAACAGGTTGCCCTTCCTTTGTTTACTTATTAGTGGATTTTTGGTTTCTTATGTATTGGTGGTTCTGTTTGATAAGCACTGGACTGCTAACCACAAAGTCCCTGATTTGAGTCTGCAAGCCACTGTGAGGGAGAAAGATGAGGCTTTCTGCTCCAACAAAGATTTAAAGCCTCGGAAACCCTATACAGGGTTGCTGAGTTGGAATCGATTTAATGGCACTTAACAACACCGGAGTCCTGGTGTTAATGCACCAGACTGCAAAGCCATTTGAACTGCAAAGTTGGTGGTTCAAGCTCACCAGTCACTCCTTGGAAAGCCTCTACAGGGTCACTATGGGTAGGAACTGACTCAACAGCACTTAACAACAACAACCAACCACAGCAACATACTGACTTTTAAGTGGGTGATTCCCTTCACCACCAAGTTTTAATTTCTCAGAAGCAATTGGCCACTACTGAGTGACCTCACAAACAATAAAACATACATTCAAAAGGCAGGCCCAGATCAAGTCTTAGAAGTGGTGTGGCCTAGTAATGCTGTGGATGAGGAAATTATTAGTTAGGAATAGCATGCAAGTGTGACAAATGTAGTAGACTCTTTAGGCAATTAGACAACCTGCCTATCACTTATTTTCCTCAAGGTATAACTGTCTGTGCTCCAAATGAAGTAGTGCCCATCCCTCAGGTAGCTTCTTAAATTCTATAAAGTGGTCTGCGTCTCTGATTTGATTATTTTATTCAAATCATCCAAATCACTCTCCTTATACATAAACGTGAATAATTAGCCTTTTGGAACTGAAGTACTTTATTTGTTTCTAATATTGAAACTTCAACCAAATTAATTTTGATGAAGCTTTTTATGCAACTATTCATGAATACACTAACTCATACTCATTTTGTTTATTATATAGAGAGTATTTGTGGAAGGACCCACAGGAAATGGGTAGCATTATTGTCTTTGCCTTTGGGAATAGGAACTGTGTGGTTGAAAGGGCATTTCACTGAAACCCTTTTTTACCTTTCAGATTTTGAATTAAGTGACTATAGTATCAATTGTTGTTAAAGTTGATTCCGACTCATTGCACCTGTGCCCAACAGAATGACACACTGTACAATCCTGCGTCATTCCCACAGTTATTGCTATGCTTCAGCCCATTTATAAGTGGCAATCCATCTCATTGGAGTCTTCCTCTCTTTTGCTGACCTCCACTTTACCAAGCATGATGCCCTTCTCCAGCGACTGGTCCCTCCTGATAACATGTCTGAAGTACGAGAGACGAAGTCTCACCATCCTGACTTCTAAGGCTTCTGCTGCACTTCTTCCAACACAGATTTGTTTGTGCTTCTGGCAATTTATGGGACTTTGAATATTCTTCTCCAACACCATAACTCAAATGCATTGATTATTCTGTTGTCTTCCTTATTCATTGTCTAACTTTCATATGCATATGAGGCTATTGATTTCTTGACTGTTGCTTCCATGAGTGTTGATTGTAGACCCAAGGAAAATGTACTCTTGACATTCTAATGATAGAATATTTGACTTTGTCTTCTGGAGCTGCCCTTTGGAATTTTCTGTGTAACTCTTACTTTATTATTTCTTCCATTCTCTGTAGCTTCTCCACACTCAAGAGCAAGTTTCAGAGTCTCTTCTGACATCCGTTTTGTTTTTTTCTGTCTTTTTAATGAACTTTTTGCTTTCTTCCTGATGATATTCTTGGTCTTATCCTACAACTTTTCTGGCCTTCAGTCATTAATATCAATGTATCAAATCTGTTCTTGAGATGGTCTCTTAAGTTCGGGTAGGATTTGCTGAAGGTCCTATTTTGGCTCTTGTGGACTTGTTTTAGGTTTTTCAGCTTCAGTCTGAACTTGCACATGAGCAATTGATGGTCTGTTCCACAGTCTGCCCCGGCCTTGTTTTGGCTGATGGTATTGAGCTTCTGAATCGTCTCTTTCCACAGATGTAATCAATTTGGTCAGTGTGTATTCCATCTGGTCAGGTCCGTGAGCATGTTTACAAAAGATATTTGCAATGAATAAGTCATGTCTGTTGCAAAATTCTATCATGTGATCTCCAGCATCATTTATATTCCCAAGGCCATATTTTTCAACTATTGGTTCCTCCTGTTTTCACCTTTTGCATTCCAATCATCAGTAATTATCATTGCATCTTGATTGCATGTTTGATCAATTTCTGATTGAAGAAGTTAGTAGAATTATTCCATTTCATCATCACTGGCTTTCATGGTTGGTTCATAAATTTTAATTATTAACTGGTCTTCCTTATAAACATATGGATATTATTGTCCTGTTACAGACAGTGTTACACTTCAATATAGATCTTGAAATGTTCTTTGTCACTATGAATGTGACACCATTCATGTTGAATTTGTCATTCCTGGCATAGAAAACCATATGATTGTCAGATTCAAAATGGTCAATACCTGTCCATTTTAGCACACTAATACCTAGGATATTGATCTGTATGCATTACATTTCATTTTTAACAACTTCTAATGTTCCCAGATTCATGCTTCAGACATTCCATATTCTGATTATTAATGGATGTTTGTGGCTGTTTCTCATTTGGGGTTGTGCTCCATCAGCAAATGAAAATCCCCAAAGCTTTACTTCATTAATGTCATTATGGTCAACTCTACTTACAGGACGCAGTTCTTCGCTAATCATATTTTTTGTGCCTTCCAACCTGAGGGGCTCATCTCCCAACACTTATATCTGATAATATTCCACTTCTATTCTTAATGTTTCTATCTTCTGGCACTATACCTGACAAGGTTCTGCTGCTAGTCCTAAGATTTGCCTCTTGTGTCTGCTTCTTTCTCTTCCTAGTCTTTGTCTGGAAGTTCCACTAAAATCTGACTACCATGGTGACACTGCTGGTATTTTAAATACCAGTGTGGTAGCTTCCAGCATCACAACAACATACAAGCCACCATAGTGTAACAAACTGACAGATGAGTATTAGCTATTAAGAAAATAAAATTCAGATGGTGGCTAGGGTGAAGGTGTAGTGAAGGTCACCGTCAGCAATAACTTGGAATTCCAGGCAAGAGGGGGGCAGGACGGGGCTCCAAGGCTTGGACCCACAGAGATAGGAATAGTTTAAATGTTTGAGGGCTTATGACCTGTGGAATTTGGAGCTGAGGCAGGAAATCACATACTTTTGGATCTGCTGGCCAGGCAAGGAGGCCTGAGCCCACATCCTGGGCGAATCCAGGTGGCGGGACGAAATAGGAGCCGCATCTCAGTAGAGGCATGCCGCGGGAACCTTGGAAAAGAAAGAGAAAAAATAAGTGCACAGTATACTCTGCCAATTTTGTGTGGTTCCGATTTTATTTTTTTCTTTGGTGTAGGGTAATAGGTGCGCTAACGGTTTGCCCACCTACATTCGGGTGAATAGAGGTAGGGGCTTAGCCTAGTAGCCATGACCCACCCTCACTGTTGGCAGTTTCCTCTGCCAGGAACTCACACACACTCCGCCCAAGCTGAGACACGGATTTGGTTGGCCTTTTTACACTGGGTTGAGAGGGGTCCTGGCGTAGCACTGTGGGTTAAGGCGCCGCGCCGCCAATTCGGCTTTATCTCACTGGTTTGAGAGGCTTCCCGGTGTAGACCGGTGGGTTAAGGTGCCACTGTAAAGCCTTTCGAACTGCAAGGTCAGTGGTTCAAGCTCACTAGCCACTCCTTGGAAACCCTATACGGGAGACGCGGATGTGCGTTCTATTTGGTCGGCTTTTTCTCACTGGTTGGAGAGGTGTCCCAGCGTAGCACGATGGGTTAAGGTTCCTCTCTAAAGCCTTTTGAACTGCAAGGTCAGTGGTTCAAGCTCACCTGCGCCCCTCAGAAACCCTATACAGGAGACGCAGATGTGCTTACTATTTGGTCTGCTTTTTCTCACTAGTTTGAGAGGCTTCCCGGCGTAGCGTGGTGGGTTAAGATACCACTGTAAAGCCTTTTGAACTGCAAGGTCGGTGATTCAAGCTTACCAGTCGCTCCTCAGAAATCCTATACGGGAGACTCGGATGTGCATTCTATTTGGTTGGCTTTTTTTTTTCCGCTGGTTTGAGAGGCATCCCGGCATAGTGCTGTGGGTTAAAGCGCCATGGTAAAGCCTTTTGAACTGCAAGGTCAGTGGTTCAAGCTATCCAGGCGCTCTGTGGAAACCTATACGGGAGATGCGGATGTGCGGACTATTTGGTCGGCTTTTTCTCACTGGTTTGAACGGCGTCCCGGCGTAGTGCTGTGGGTTAAGGCACCACTGCAAAGCCTTTTGAACTG